TCTACTTCATAGTTGTCCTTTGTTTCACATCGAAAACTCCCAGTTGACCTGGGCGGTATGACCGTTCAGCCCGGGAACCGTCCAGGCAACCAGTTCCATTTTACCCCAAACCCAGTCCTTGGCCAAAAATCGTTGAATCAGTCAACGACCAATTGACGCATATGGTCGAACCATCAACCCATCGACCCATTCAACGGTTTTTGGCCATTTTTATTTTTAAGTTTTGTTGTCAAAATGGGCCATCCATTTGAACCAGACAATCGAACCATCGACCTGGAAACCAGTGGCCAGAACAATTCTGTTTCCGGGTCATTTTTTCTATATGTCAATAATTAGACAAAATAACTTTGTAGTCATAGTCATGGGAAGGGTGRACATTGCAAGGGATTCCAAAACCTTTCCACAAATCCAAAGTGACCTTAAACACAAAAAAAATTGGCGGTAAATCCACAAAACTGAAAAAATCAAGGGAAAAAAATCAGAACATCGAGTCCAAAGTTCTGTTTTGAATCAGAGCTAAACATACATGCAATCAAAGAAAGAGATAAAGCAGATTGTCTTGTACGAAAACTAAAAAAAAACATTACAAAAGAAAACCTAAAGAAAAAACTAAATGAAAGAAATAAAATGGTGGTAAACCCTAGACCGTTTTGGAGGATCTTAAAGAAGAAGACCAAACACAAAAAAAAGCAGTAAAATGAAAAAAAAAGGAACATACCACACACACTCGAACTGTCGGGCATTTTGGCACAGGAACCGTCCAGGCAACCGGTTCCATTTTACCCCAATCCTAGTCCCTGGCAAAAAACCGTTGAATCAGTCAACCACCCATTGACTCGAGAGGTCGAACCGTCGACCTGTTGACACATTCAATGATTTTTGGCCGTTTTTTAATTTTTTTAATTGGGAACTGTCCAGGCAACTAGTTCTGTTTTATCACAACCCGGGTCTCTGGCCAAAAACCGTTGAATCGGTCAATGACCCATTGACCCAGGTAGTCAAACCATTGACCCGTTGACCCGTTCAATGGTTTTTGGTTGTTTTTTTTTTATTTTTTAATTTTGCTGTCAGAATGGGCCATCCATTCGAACTAGACAATCGAATTGTCAACCCGAAAACCGATGGCCAAAACAGTTCCATTTTTGGGTCGTATGAATTACACGCTCAAATGACATAACACGTATGATATTGCTTAATGGACCTCACACACTCATTTTTTTGCCTGTAATTTTTATTGTCAGAATGGGCCATCCATTTTTTTTTATTTATTTTTTAATTGGGAACCATCCAGGCAACCGGTTCTGTTTTACCCCAATCCCGGTCCCTAGCCAAAAACTATTGAATTGATCAATGACCCAATGACCCGAGCGGTTGAATCATCAACCCGTTGACCCGTTCAATGGTTTTTAGCCATTTTTTTTTATTTTTTAAAGTTTTATTGTCAGAACGAGCCGTTCATTTGAACCAGATGGTTGAACCGTTGATCCGAAAACCGGTGGCTAGAATGGTTCCATTTTTGGGCCATATGAGTCATACGTTTGATTGACATAATACGTATGGTACTGCTTAATGGACCTCACACACTCAATTTTTTGCTTATAATTTTTGTTGTCGGAATTGGTTGTTCGTTCAAATCGGATGGTCGAACCGTAGACTCGAAAATCGATGGTCAGAACGGTTCCATAATTTTTTGTTGTCAGAACGGACCATCCATTCGAACCGGTGGCCAAAACAATTTCATTTTCGGGTTGTATGAGTCACACGCTTGAATGACATATCACGTATGATACTACTTAATGGACCTCACACACTCAATTTTTTGCCTGCAATTTTTGTTGTCAGAGTGAGCCGTCTGTTCGAATTGGACAATTAAACCATTGACCCGAAAACCGATGGTCAAAAGTTTCATAATTTTTTGCTTGTAAATTTTTGTTGTCAG